ACACTGAAGGTTCGCACTCCCAACTATGTACTAGATGAATTACGTTTAACTTTCTAATTCTTTTCGGTCGCTCCAATCGTGAAAATAGAACAAGTAGACGTAAGACGTAATGTAAATTAGTTGCTCCAGTAAGTTATCACGTCAAACAGCCATGTAGCATAATCCCATTAGTGAGTTGACATAATTCGTCAGTGGTCCTAAATCAAACTTCATTCCCTCGCTAACCCCCGAAGCAAGCACAAGGATCGATGTGCTTACACCAGCAGCGCAAACCTCACGTCGAATCAAGGGTAACTGAGATCGTCAGGTGGTGCGCTGCGGTGTGTTGTTCTGGAAGCTGGTGGTTGTGAAACGGCTGATAGCACAATTGATTGTTCACTGAGGGGGGACGGATCCCCCGGGCTGTCTTTCTACCTTGCTATGCAAAGCGTTAGCCGATCGTCATCGTCTACGACGAAGGCGGCGCTAGGCGCTTATAAATCAACGCCACCACTCCGTCATATGTCAGGCGTGCACGTCGCACAACAGATGTTTTCTTTTTCAAATTCAGCAATTATTGATTGAGTTTGAACGGCAGTGGTGGGGCGAATGCAATGAAGCTACTCACTTCCATCGAATTCTGCATAGGTCGATTATTTTCCGGCAGCGGAACTGACTGTGGTTCGTAGGGAGGTTGAAAATGGCTAAAAAAACATTAATATTTGAGTCAGGGTTTACAAAACCGCAACCGTATCACGCACCTCATGGGGGTACCCATATTCGGACTAGCCGATTGGGCTGTAGAGCCGGGCGACATTGGCGGTTGTGATGAAGATGCTCGTTCATCGCCAACTATATCCATAGGCATCTTTCCCTTCAAGCACGTCACGTATCTATTGCAGAAGTTGTCGCAAAGCTCGTGAACCTGTAGAAAGGGCATGAGGTGTGGTTCTACAGAAAACTTTACACATATCTATTAGAAGAGATGAACAGAACGTGCTGAGACAAATAAACTCATTTAAGATATCGACATGCGATTAATCGCACTTTTAAGAAGATTAAATTGCGATGCCAAGCGTTTTCGCTAGGATAATGTAGAGAAAGGAAAGTGATATAGCAAGCAACTCTGTACGCTCAAAATTCAAGTCATTTTTTATCCACTTTATTATTATACAAAACTCTATAAAAAGTATGAAAAACGGGTCATCCTGATTTTCTTGCCTTTATGAAAACAGAGATAAACCACGAATTATGTTAATTTCTACTAAGTTATTAAATTTTTGTAGCAGCCGAGATTTAAGGCGCGTAGCCTTCACACTTAATACAAAATCCTTAGAATGGCCCGATAGTGAGCGTTATAAATGATCAAGAATTTCTAGTGTTTGAATGCACTAAACCTTCGTAGAGTTCATCAACAACCTTTTGCATCTCACAACTACCATCTACTCCATCCAAACAGCAGTGCGCCACTTCCTCATCTTCAATGATAGATGGGTCCATTATTCACGCGTCATCATTTTGTCACTAAGAATCCGCTACTGATCAGTCTGTCAGTATAAGGAGAAATGAAGACAAATCCGCTCGTGTTGTCGCGGCCGGCGTTTCGTTGCTGCCGCTGTTCGAGTCGTTCCATCAAAAGTTTCACGCCGCTCGGACGCTGATCGATAGACCATCAACGACGCCGTTATAGTGACAAAGTGTTATGTGATGCACAACTATTTATGAGACGATTTCATCTACAACAACAACCGAGCGCATCGATTACGCGCGCGCGTAAGGTAAGGGCGACAAAAATCGATAGATACAGTGCAGCTCGTGGTTTTGCTCGTTGCGCGCGTAGCTACGAACGCAACGGCGCCCCGCAGAGTTCGTCGTGCGGAACGTAACAGAATCGCATGAAATAAAAACGAAGAAATGCGTTTTCAATGAATGAAGTTGGATGGGACGCAGCCGCGAAAAAAGGACGAACGGTGTTCCCCATGGGCCGCGTCGCTGCTGCCGCACCCAAAAAAGAACCCCACTTTCAAAGTGAGACAAGATAAGGACGAACTGATAAGTGAGTCTCCATCTAATAAGTGTCACGAACGCTTGCTGATATAGCAAATGCACTTTACGCTGCAACTATGGGAGAAGCCAAATCGGTTCATTTTATGATACCAAAGCTTAGAAAACGTTGATTTTGTCTTGTTAAAAGCAATGAGAGCTATTTGTGGAGTGAAAGTTACAAACAATGTCGGAAAAGATAGATCAATCGCAAAAGAACCGCAAAATAGGGCTGTCATTCAAAGAATAATGGTTATCTTGAATTGGAAGTACCAAGCAAAATCAAGGTTCTCAAGAATCGTATTAAGCGATTTTTGATGAGTAAATGGTCTCT